TCCTTTTTTAGTTTGTTCATATGTTCCAACTAAATGGTTGGAGGTTTTGAATCCGCGATTGGTCGACTTCAAATTTACAGCTTCGTCAAGAACTCGTCTGTATTTAGACATTGGTCCATCCCCAGTGTCTTCTAGCGTTCTGTTGTTGAGCCCTTTGCTGCTAAATTTGAATTTGTCGCTCTTACTATCATAGCGGCAATACGTCTTGCTGCACAGGCACAACATTTCAGTACAGCGAAATTCTTCTTTGAATAATCCAGGTTCTCGTTTGTCATGCTTTTTGTGAACAGCGCAGCATGTACGTGGAAAAAAATTCTTATCTGCATCAATTATAAAGTCATCTCTACAATCATTTCGACGAATAAGTGTCCACTGAGCTTTCTTCTCTGGTAAAATACAATCGTCCAGGTTATCTTCTGCTAATGCTAGATACAAAGAGTCCGTATCCATCTCCAACTCCTCGAATTTATTCTCATCGCAATACTTGTGGAAGAAGTGGTAGTATAACTCCAACATTCTAAGTTTGGCGTATTGAAGAATGAAAAAACCTACAATAATTGGTTCTCTATGTTCAATTGTTGACTTCAATAGTTCTACTTCATATAAGTCCTTTTTCACAATATTCAATCGCTTGAAAAACTTCTCATTTATTGCTTTGTGTGTCTTCTCATCGCCGAGATATTTGGTTATCGTGTGTCTGGATCTGTTCATAATTTGATAACCGTACGAACTGTTACCGAGAAGCTTCATCGTCTCAGCAACAACTCCAGAATGTGGATTCTCGTCTCCTTCTCGTCGAGCATCAACAACAGATTGAACAAATTTGTTGAAACATTTCCTAGGTGTGTACTCAACAAATCGATAAATTTTTGTACATTGAAGTCCAAGACTTAGATAGAAGTTAAGAAGAGGTGTGATGATTGTACCATTTTCTAATTTAAAACTGGAAATCAACATTCGTTGTGGGTTTTTCAGCAAATCGTTTTTTTTCGGCATAGTTTTTCATGTATTCTCCAATATCGTTTCGGGAGACGTCAATGTTTTTGAATATTGGAGGAAAATTTGAAAATGTAGGCTTCAACTCGTCAGGAACTATTAAATCGCATTGCACATAACCAAAAAGAGATCTGTTCTTCATTTTTCAAGTAAAGAATCAGTAGACAGAGGTCTTTTGTAAGGAAAATTTGTCTTGACATGATTCTTGATTGACGAATCTGTTTTGAAATGCTTCCACCACTCACACTCCCACATTTCCTGAATTTTGTAACCTCTTTCTTTTATGTACTCTCGTCTCAACTCATCCATTTCTCGCTTCTTATTTCCACTTTCAATATCTTGTTCTGACAACGATGGACGGGTTTCTTGACATGAGCAGAAATGATAGTAGCAACCCATAGCTTCAAATACTGTTTTACAGTGATCACAGTAACCATCAACAAGATCACAGTCAATTTTTTTCTGCTTTCCGGTTGTGTAAAAACTCTGAATTTTACACTCTGGTCTCAATTCTTGATAAAAGGACATAACCATGTTCTCGAAATTTCTTGTTCTGTTATTTCTAGCTTTAAAACGATCAGTTTCAGAGTCATACTCCCATCTTGTGTAAAATCCGGTTGGCATCTCTTGACACATTGAGAATGGATATAATTGGCTAGCGTCAATTCCAACAATTGTCTTACAAATATTTGACGAGTTACGAATATAAGTTTGATCGACAACAGCTTTTCGCGTAAAAACTATTGATGGACCACCAGTCATGTCTTCTCTAATTTTCTCACATAAATCTTTATCTCCTTCAAAGAACGGGTAAAATTTGTGATTTGTCGACTTGTGTAAGCAGATATTTGCAAGATTTGGAAGCGTGCATCCCAGTTTCAACATGTCAATTCTCTTATCATGGTAAAACTCTATCATTTTTTGCATAGCTTCAAGAGTAGGAACAACATCTTTGTTGTTGTACCATCGTAAGAAGTCTTTGAAAGTAATCATGCTTTGTTGTTCCCAGATGTTTTTCAAATACGAGTAATTTTCAAAACCTGTTGGTGGAATTGATTGAATACGCAACTTTTTCAGCGAATTTTGTTGATCAAGTCCTCCATTAACCAGTTTTTGGTAATCGTTGAAATCTTTCTCGAGTGGGTTGTGGTTTCTCAGTTTGCTGAAAAAGGTTTCATATGGAGGCAACTCCGTACAGTCAAGCTTGTCTGGACTGTCAAACCATTCGTAAGGGAAAAAACTTTTGGTCTCACTTGCTTTATAGGCTTTCAGAAACGAATCCAATGTTGTTGCCCCTCCAAGAAATTTCATTATGTCCAAAAACTGAACATCTCCAAATTTGAATGATATGAAGTCATTTGCTTTTTTAATGACTGTTGGTTCGATTTCTTTATCACATATAAGGTATGGAATCAAATAAGATTTGATAAGTTTCAGATCGTATCTGCCGCTATTGAAACCTATCACCGGTAAGGTATTAACATAGCGCTCTAAATGCTGTTTCAAGTCGATCAACTGATTTTTTTGAATTCTCAAGAATTGTGTTGACATGTCATCTTCGTCGCTATCCTCAACACATTCATCTTCATAATCGAAGACTTCTAGTCTTTTAGTTAAAGTTCTAGCATTAAGCTTATCAAAGATCTTTTTGACTCGATCATTGACAGTGTTTTCGATTTCTTGAAACTTGGTTCTCATTTGTAGTTTACTTTTTTCAGCCAGAAGTTCCAAGCTGGAAACAAAAGCAATTATTAGAAGTTCTGGATCTTTTTCACACAAAAAAATTGGAGCATCTTGCAGATTTGAAGATATTGATACGGAAAAAGGGACATGTTTTCCAATCCAAGTAGTTGTTTCAGTTGCTTTCAATTCTTCTGTGGGAACACAAATCGATTCGAAGTCAAAAACATTGCTAAACAATTTCTGATCTTCAGTGTAGGGAATGTTGAAGCAATCCAATTTCTCGAATATTGTTTCCCGTAGTGTGTACGCATTTTTGGGATAAATATGTCGCACTCGATCTTTACAAGTTAGAAGATGTCGGTTGAAGTTGTCTGATCTGTTGAAGAAACAGTCACAGCTAGGACATCGAAAACACTTGAAGAAGGAATCAATATCATTCGTGTGAATAACATGGTTGTTGAATCTTAGCAATTTCACCGTTTTTTCAAATTTTCCAATACTTCGCTTGGCTAATTCTCCAACATATTCTCCTTCTTGAATATCAAAATCGTAAATGAATATGTTTCGTTCAACTATTCCCTCTACAACAGGTAAATCATTGATTGACACTCCGCGAAAATTCTTCGGATCGTATCCAGATTTTGATATAAACTCTGTAAACAGCTGAGATGTATGAGCATCGAGGTTACTATGACCATGCAAATACATTGTTAACGCACGGAAAAGACACTGATGATCTTTGTATGGTTGTTTATCTTTGTCCGATAAAAGACAGTTTACTTGCGTATGTCGTAGTAAAGGTTCAGGCATTACAGAGTCTGGACATCCCATTGGGATGTTTTTCACTAGTGCAGCAAAAATAGTAACATTTGTGATCAACTTGAACCTCCACTTTGTGTTCTGACGTTCTT